TTTTAGTTTCTATTATCATCACTGTCCAATGCAAAATCATTTCTTTTCAGTTCTCTAGTTTCAATTGGCCACCTATATATAAATCATAAAGAGGCTAAACTCCTAAGCAAATATTTTGATCACCCTCATTCTTTATTGTTATAATATAAAGGCCACTATTCAATATTGGTTTAAACTATTTGAGGTTTGTAGAGAACACTGATGTGGGACCCACAGCTGTGGTCCCCACTATGTTTGTATGACAGCACATGTAACCTACAGCTGTGGTCCCCATTGTGTTTGTACCACAGCACATGTAACCTTTGATTGTTATGTCAGTGTTAGTTGGTAGTTATCTTAGACAATTTGTTATTTCATTTTATTATTTGTTTTATTTGCCATGTAAGCGTTAAGGGCAATTCTGTCCTTTCCTACATTTAGTGAACATAACCTATAAATATTGAGAGAGTGGCGGCGGCAGGTTTTATTCGACATGTCCCTCCTTTCAAAACCCTTGTTTACTTTTGCTTTCTTCTCCTTTCTTCTCCCTCTTTCTTCTACTTTTTTCAATCCGAAATCTATTGGAATTCAATACTGACTGTAGTCTTGATACTTGGTATCAGAGCCTATGTAGGGTTTCTCGTGTGGATCTATTCCAGCCGACCACATGAGAACTGTCTAGGGCTGGAAGCTTACAAAGGATTGTTCGTTGGCTGATTCTTGGAGGTTATCAGAAAAGTTTAGCAGCTGTCCGAAGACTTGTAAAGGCTTGGAGAGTGTTTTGGTAATCAGGAAGAATCAGAGAAGGTTAGGGTTCAGGCCACGATTGAAGGTAGCGATCAAAATTTTCTAGGTAAGTCTTTTTTTCCCTTGAGATTGCTGTTAGTCAAGATAGGTTGGACCTATCTAGGAGGAGCAGCCGAACTCTCCTATTTTTTCTCAGAGGTGATCAGTTTTTTTTAGGGTTTGTCATTAACCCTACGGCTAGACTTGACTGTGAATTCTTTTGGAAGGTGTGGCTGAGCACTGTTTATGTTCTCAAAAGGTTTTCCTAACCCTACGATTAAAACCCTAATTCTGCTTCAGCATTACAGATTGCTTTCTAAGTGGTTTTCAGACCTATTTTGGCTTTCGAGCCTGTTTTGGGGGTGAGACCTGTTATCGGGCTGCTTATATTCTGATTTCCGATTGGTTTCAGATCAGATCTGAACTGATTTCATACAGATTTCTGGTTGTGATCAGTTGTTTAAGTGTTGTTTTCTATTGCAGTAACCCTAATAGTTCTTAATTGCTGATTCTTAACCAAGAATGGAGTTCAAAAATCAGGGAGAAGGTGTTTTTGGGAACAACAATTCTGCTAGTGTGTCTAAGACTGCGTTTCAGATTACAACAGTGAGATTTGACGGATCCAATTACTTGGAATGGGCCCAATCAGCCATGATGGCTATTGGGGGAAGGGGAAAACTTAGCTACCTATTGGGAGATGTGAAAGAACCTTCCAAGGAGTACCCAATGTATACCAAGTGGGTTCAGGAGAACTACTTGGTTATGACATGGCTGTGCAACTCTATGCAGCCACATATCAGCCGAAATTACTTGTGGGCAAAGACAACCAAGGAGATATGAGATGTCATGAAAGAGACCTACTCCCAACCCCTTAATGTTGCTAGAGCCTATGAATTGAAGTGTGAGGTGAATAACCTTAAACAATGAGAGAAATCAGTCTCTGCTTATTTCTCTATCTTGAAATCTCTGTGGCATGAAATTGACTATCTGGAGGCTCTTGAGTGGGAAAGTCCAAAAGATGCACAGACCCATAGAAAGCAAGTCGAGACCAATAGGGTGTTTAAATTTCTAACTGGCCTGAATTCAAATTATGACATTGTGAGACAGTAGATACTGACAAGAGATAGTGTGAACCTATCTCAAACCTACTCCTTGATCTCGGTCATCAGCAGTCCAGGCCAGCCCCAACTCCTTTTGCGGATCCAGATCCAGGTACTACAGTCCCAAGGCCCACTGAGATACCTTCCACTGTTGCTACTTCCCCTCCTTTTTCGGATGACCTTGACCTCCCTATTGCGGTCCGTAAAGAGAAACAACACTGCACCACATCCACAACTCACTGCATTTCCCAGTTTCTATCCTATGATCACCTGTCTCCCTCTTACAGGTCCTATCTTACTTCCATTGCTGATATCCCTATCCCCAGAACAGTGCAAGAAGCCTTATCAGTTCTAGAGTGGAAAGATGCAATGAAAGTTGAAATGGATGCCCTTTTGAAAAATAATACTTGGGAGCTAGTTGACCTACCCAAAGGAAAGAAACCAGTTGGATGTAGATGGGTATTCACTGTGAAACATAATGTTGATGGCTCCATTGAGAGGTACAAAGTCCGGTTGGTTGCAAAAGGGTTCACTCAGACTTATGGTATAGACTACTTGGAGACCTTTGCCCCATTAGCCAAGATGACCACTATTCGAGTTCTATTAGCCCTTGTAGCAAGTTACTCTTGGCCCTTGTTCCAAATGGACGTTAAAAATGTCTTTCTGAATGAAGACTTACAGGAAGAGGTCTACATGCAGTTGCCCCCTAGATTTAATGATATAGAGACAGCTAAGAAGGTTTGCCGACTGAATAAGGCATTGTATGGATTAAAGCAATCCCCTAGAGCTTGGTTTGATAGATTCAGACTAGCCCTTGGAAAATTCGGTTATGTATAGGTCCAGTCAGATCATACACTGTTCGTTAAAATAGTGAACTCTTCTTTGACCTTGCTTGCTGTATATGTGGATAATTTTGTAGTGATAGGGAATAATAATAGTGAGATTGAGTCCCTCAAACAACTCCTTCATCAAGAGTTTGAGGTGAAAGATCTTGGTGCACTGCAATATTTTGTGGGTATTGAGGTTGCTATATCTAAACAGGKGATCTTTATCTCTCAAAGGAAGTATGTTCTAGATCTGTTGGTGGAAACTGAAAAGTTAGGTGTCAAGCCTGCCGATACACCCATTGAACAAAATCACAAGATTAGTGCAAAGGGTGAAGAGCCTCTTGAAGACAAAGTTATGTTCCAACAGTTGGTTGGAAAGCTCCTATATCTCTGCCTCACACGGCTAGATATCAGTTATGCAGTCAGTGTTGTCAGCAGTACATGCATTCCCCTAGAACTACTCATCTTCTTGCAGTTGAGAAAATATTAGCATATTTGAAGAGATGCCTAGGTAGAGGTATAATGTTCAAGAACAATAATCACATGAAGGTAGAGGTCTATACAGATGCTGATTGGGCTGGGAGTGCTGATGACAGGAGGTCTACCTCTGGATATTGTGCCCTTGTAGGAGGTAACCTTGTCTCTTGGAGGAGTAAGAAACAAAGTGTTGTTTCCCGCTCTAGTGCTGAAGCTGAATGCAGGTCAATGGCTAACGAAGTGGCTGAAATCACTACTTGAAGAGTTGGGTATTGATTATGAGAAGCCCTTGATGTTGCATTGTGATAATCAGGCGGTTATTAATGTAGCTCACAATCCGGTGCAGCATGACAAAACTAAACATATCGAAGTTGATCGACATTTTGTCAGAGAAAGGGTCTCATCACAAGAAGTGTCTCCCGTATATCACCTCCAACATGCAACTCGCAAATCTTCTCACCAAGGTTGTTCCAAGGAAGAAGTTAGAGGCAGACCTATTCAAGTTGGGAATGACAAATATCTATTCCCAACTTGGGGGGGAGTGTAGAGAACATTGATGTGGACCCCACGACTGTGGTCCCCACTGTGTTCGTATGACAGCACATGTAACCTTTGTTAGTTATGTCAGTGTTAGTTGGTAGTTATCTTAGACAGCTTGCTATTTCAGTTTATTATTTGTTTTATTTGCCATGTAAGCATTAAGGGCAATTCTATCATTTCCTACATTTAGTGAACATAACATATAAATATTGAGAGAGTGGCGACGGCAGGTTTTATTCGATATGTCCCTCCTTTCAAAACCCTTGTGTACTTCTGGTTTCTTCTCCTTTCTTCTCCCTCTTTCTTCTACTTTTCTCAATCCGAAATCTATTGGAATTCAAGATTGACTGTAGTCTTGATCGACTACTAGGTTCTCATTCTTGTCAGCCTAAGATTTTACCATTACACAAGCAAAAACCCCTTTCTTGATTCTTATAAATATCTGTCCCCCAATTTAAATTAATATTTACCAGGCAGTTCCTTCACAAGATATGGCCTGGCCACTAAATTAAATTTCCTTTTTTTCCTATTTAGACAAATTATATCCCCTCATGAGTCACGACTCAACTTTTTTTAATTAAAATTAGGGAAAGGTTGGTCCAAGATCACATATGATAGCCAATGCTAGCTAGTTCTTTGATGGTAACCAGGTGTTGTGAGAACTACCCATGATTTGCTTAGCTTTGTAGATGTGGGGTTAGAGTTATAAGTTCCCATATATGAGACCAAATATTAATTGGGACAATTGTTGTGAGAGAGTGAAGCTAATTAATGAGATACACCAAGTCTCTGCCCATGATTAATTATTCTCCCCTAATTCATATTATATTAGAATAATTGAAGTGTGAGGGAGTTGACATTCTATTAAAGAAAGCTTTTAATGTTAGCTTCTCTTATCAAAGTCGCCTCCAGTATGCCTTGCTTATTCCTCAAATCATGCTTACGAGTCAGTTTATTATTTTAATTACCATTTCTTGTCACCCATACAAGATAATGGGAGGTGGAGCAGATTTGGTGACCATTAGTAGTAGGCTAAGGACACTGTAGAGAGAGAGAGATTTTCACTTGAAAAAGATTGCTTGTGGTTTCTATACTAAGTATTAACCTTATGTGTTTATTAATTTAACAAAATGATCAATAAACGGCACCTCTCAAAGCTTAAGAGCTGGTTTATTTAAGAAGAAAGATTGATTAAACAATGAGGAGTTGACAATTTGACATAGAGGATAGACTTAAAATTTGTTATAAAAGGAGGCCTATACCCAGTTCCATATACCCACATCCAGTCACTGGTAAGCACTTGGGTGCAATAATAATCCCTCCCTCCTCCCCCTTCTCTCTATTTTTCCTTGGTATTAATTTCGTGTAATATTACAGTAGTATTACTACATCTTTGGTTTTAATGGCGATTCCTGTGATCGACTTTTCAAAACTTGATGGAGAGGAGAGGGCTAAGACAATGGCTCAGATTGCAAATGGCTGTGAGGAATGGGGATTCTTCCAGGTATATATTAATAGTTGTTAGGCAAATATATTTCATGGTTTACAAGACATTCAGTTGATAAACAATTCATTGCATTGTATTAAAAGAAGATGCTAATATACTAAGTCCATCATAATAGGAGTTACATGCATCTATATCTTCATAAACTATTATTCTTTATCTTGTTTCCAACATCACAAGATTGAAGTGTTTGTTGCTCTTTGTCGCAGTTGGTGAACCATGGAATCCCTGTGGAGCTCTTGGAGAGGGTGAAGAAGGTGTGTTCTGAGTGCTATAAGATGGAAAGAGAAGAAGGATTCAAGAGCTCCACACCTGTGAAGTTGTTGAACGACTTAGTGCAAGGCAAGACTACTGGGGAGAAGCTGGAGAATGTGGATTGGGAGGATGTATTCACTCTTACTGATGACAGTACTGAGTGGCCATGCCAGAACCCAGACTTCAAGTAAGGATGGAGGACTAGAGTTATACTTCATTCATGTTTAGTTATCATAGAATAAAATTCAATACTTGCATTTGGATTTATTTCCAATATCTGAAGACATTCTAACAGAAACTGTGACATTGACAACAGAGAAACCATGACAGAATACAGAAGAGAATTGAAGAAACTGGCAGAGAAAGTGATGGAGGCAATGGATGAGAACCTGGGTTTACCAAAAGGATACATTAAGAAGGTCTTCAATGGTGGAGATGGGCTGGAGAACCAGGCTCTCTTTGGCACCAAAGTCAGCCACTACCCACCTTGTCCTCGTCCAAAACTGGTGAATGGCCTTCGAGCCCACACAGATGCTGGGGGTGTCATCCTGCTGTTCCAGGACGACAAGGTGAACGGCCTGCAAATCCTAAAGAATGGAGAATGGATTGACGTCCAACCATTAGAGGACTCCATTGTCATCAACACCGGGGATCAGATCGAGGTAATAAGTAATGGCCGATACAAGAGCGTCTGGCACCGTGTACTGGCGACTCCTGATGGTAACAGAAGATCCATTGCCTCCTTCTATAACCCATCCTTGAAAGCAACAATAGCTCCTGCCCCAGAAATAATGGACCCAGTTGTCAAAGAGATGAATCAAGCTTACCCAAAGTTTGTGTTTGGTGATTACATGTCTGTATATGCAGAGCAGAAGTTTCTCCCCAAGGAACCGAGGTTCCAAGCTGTAGGGGCCATGTAAGGAGATATATGTGAGAGTGGATAAGAGATCATTTTAGTAATAATGCATACACTTCAGCTGTCTGTGACTTGGGCACCTAGTGATATGGAAGTATATATTAATTAGTCCTAAAGCACAAGCCTAGAGGCTTTCTTCCTATATAATTATTAATTAGTGTTTGTATGAGATGGGTCGGGTGTTTGTCCTATCTAGTTTAGGGTGACAGTGTATATTTAGATGTGCGTAGTTGTCAAGGTTTGATTTGCATATTATTTACATATGTATAAAATGCATTTCCCATTGTCATAATTAAATTTTGCTTTTCCTTCTTTCATTCCTTTATGGTCGTTTTTAGGAGCTATTTTTCTATTTTCACCAATATGGGTTTGTATTCTCTCTCTCTCTCTCATAGAAAAAAGAGGGGAAAATTTTGTTTAATTGGATATATTCCAAAAAATAGAAATCTCTCTTTCTCATAGAAAAAAAAGAGGGGAAAACTTTGTTTAATTGGATATATTCCAAAAAATAGAAAATTCCAATATTTACATAAACAATTAATTTTATACGCCTCTCTCTCTCTCATAGGAAAAAAAAGGGAAAATTTTGTTTAATTGGATATATTCCAAAAAATAGAAAATTCCAATATTTACATAAACAATTAATTTTATACAACTTAAGTGGTTTCTATTAATGATTTATCAAACCCATTGATCCATCAACAATTTATATCAAAAGTGATCTTTTTATCTTATTTTTTGGTAACTTACATAAATAAAAATAATAAAAAATAGTTATATTAGTATTTAATGACTATCAATTGAAAATTCTGAACTACATATTATATGTATCTTAGAAAATCTAATGAACCTTACATATTTTTAAATTAAAATTATATATTTCTGTAAGTCATTAATTAATAATTTAGTCCTCCATAAATAAATAAACAAAACATACTGATTATTTGAAGAAATAGAAATTATTATTTATACAAAAATATTAAATAAGTAGTAGATCGGAGCTTATACATTGTTTGATATATTGTTAGTAAAGTTAATTGCACGACATTTACCTGTTCTAGACTATTGGTATTATTGATTGTAGTGTTTTTTCTCATATAAATTATTAAAGTGTGCATTTCTCATGTATTTATATCTTATAGTTTTTTCAACCTTAAATTTACTTTTATTGAAGTGTTTGTGGGATTTGTAGGAGTTTTCCCTAATGTATCCAAATGCATCTATCTTTCTAATGTGTTCACGTGTATTCAAACATATTATAATACGTATTTGTATCCGAGTTTACCAATACAATACACAATTTTGATATTTTAAACCTTGCTCAAAAGCAAAAGCTTATTCAAACTTCTGATCACCTTCCTTTTATCATTCTCTTTTCCCCTTTTTGATAAATTTTATTTTATTACTAAAAAAAGTATACATAAATAACCTTAATTAATAATGAATCTGAATTTAAAGGAAACAAACCAACCAATTGGATTACTATGTTTATGACCAGTGCCAACAAATTACGGGCATTATTCTTAGACTTGGATAGGCCTAATGTCATGAAAGAGCAAAATGAGCTAAGCCAAGCCCAAGCTTGGAGAAAACTTGGCAAGCCAAAACTGAAACCTTAAAATGGTCTATGTATACAGCAATAATCATGATACTTAGGTGAACATGCATGTCAAAAAGACCTTAAAGCATGACCAATATAACATATCATTGTATGATATTCCTAATTATACTAAACATATTCAGGATAAAGTTCCAAGGTGCAAGCTATTTGCAGATGATGACATTATCTTAATTGGTGAAACTAATGACGGATCAAATGCAAAGTTAAGTTTATGGGCAAATGCCTCAGAGGCAAGAGGTTTTAAAATTATTAGGACTTAAACAGAGTATATGACATGTAAATTTAGTATTAATAGGAGTATAAATCAGAATACATTAGGATTAGAGGCCAAGATATAATTCAATGTGACCATTTCCGGTACCTTGGCTCAATAATCCATAACAAGGGAGAGATTGAGGAAGATGTCACCCAAAGAATTAGAGGAGAATGAGCAAAATAGAAGGGTACATCTAGACTTTTATGTGATAGGCAAATACCACTTAGACTAAAAGGAAAATTCTATGAAACAGTTGTAAGACCAGCTATGTTGTATGGAGCAAAGGGTTGGGCATTCAAGAAACAAAATGTCCAGAAAATGAGTGTGGCAAAAATGTGAATGCTAAGATGGATGGGCAGAAAAAACTAGAAATGATAGAATTAAGAATGAAGCCATCAATATGAACATAGGAATAGCCCCAATAGGTGATAAAATGAAAGAAAGTAGACTAAGATGGTTTGGTCGCAGAGAACACCATCAATAACATCAATTAGAAGTAGTTTATTACAAGTTGAAAGAGGTAAAAGGGCTAGGGGTAGACAAAAAAGGACAAGAATAATAGTAAAAAATGATTTAATCATTAATAATTTAACAATGGATATAACTTTAAATAGAACAAATTGACAAAATAGGATTCATGTAACCAATCCGTTGGAATAAGGTATGGATGATGATGATGAATACAGCATATAATTAGTAGCTTTACTCACTCAGAAAACAAGTTGCATGATTAATCCAACATATTTGTTTTCAAGACCTAGTGACTATCTAATAAAAAAAAAAGATAACTTACTTTTTTTTTTTTTTTTGCTAAGCAGAATACAACTCATTAGTGGCATCCTTCTTATACAAGTCACAACACAAATCCCCTGATGGAGATAAGCATCATTTCCTTCCAAGCTGTGCTTCATTTTGACAGTAGTGATGTCCTGGTCTTGGGTCCCTAAAGGTTTACTTTTTGCCAAGGAGAATATTTTCTATCATTATACAAATTCTTTATTTCTAAAAAGGCTGAAGTATTTGTACTCTATTATGTGATAAAAAGATGATTCTTTTGATAAAATTTTATTCCAGTTTCCTTCTACTGGAAATAAATGCAAGCGGCTCCAACCCATATTCTCTATCAGTATACAAATTGAAATTCTTGATTTCTAAAAAGGCTCAGTATTTGTACTCTATTATGAGATAAGATGATTCTTTTGATAAAGTTTTATTCCAGTTTCTTTCTATTGTAAATAAATACAATCGACTCCAACCCACAAAGTTCTAAAAACTGGACCGGACACAGAACCGTTTTGAGGACCGGTTCTTAGGTTGAATGGTTCGACCATCTGGTTCAAATGGATGACATGTTCTGATTTAAAAAATAAATAATTAAAATAAAAGATGGCCAAAAATTGTTGTCTGGGTCAATGGATCGACGGTTTGGCTGCCCAGATCAGTGGGTTGCTGACCAAATCAACGGTTTTTGGCCCAATAGCAGTTTTAGGGTGAAATGGAACCAGTTGCCTGACCGGTTCCTGGGTCAACTGGTCCGACCATCCGGTCCAGTTTTCAAAACCATGCCAACCCATAAAGTGAGGACAATGACAGCAACAATAATTAGCGGAAGTTCCTCACGACTGCTTTGGCAAAATAGTACACAAACTTCAAACTCAAAGAAATGACAAAAGAACACAAGTTTCAAACTCAAGAAGGAAAAACAGGTATTACCTATTATGAATACTCCAGGTAAAATAAACATATGCAACGATGGGAGCGAAGATTCAACCTTTATTACTGAATTGAGAGAGTATTTGGATACATTTTAGAATATGAAAAATTAAGCTAGCCTGCCTTTCTGTGGGAGTCGGTAAACACATCATTGTTTTTTGCAATCTATGAATATCATTTCTAACTATTAACTTATAATCTGTACAGATATTTACATTTAACTAAGATCAGGCCAGTCTTTTCATCTACAAGACTAATTCAAAGGCTTTATAGTTCATAGGGCCTTCTGATCTAGCCTTTCATTCCAATTCAAACAGCGGATTAAGCTGCGGAACCAATCACCAGTTTGATCAGACTTGTTGATTGTTGGCAGAGGGTGCTCGCTCATAGATATTCGGACAGAGTCTCCTCTTGAGAGCTGCTGCCTTCTCTTCCCATCAAACGACACCCAAGCATTACTTCGTGTATCCTCTGGGATCTGTTGAATTCCAATACAGCTTGCAGTTAAAAAAAGATTTGAGGAAATATTTGAAGACATTAAAATGGAAAATACTACTAACAACTAACACAAATTCTTCTCACTATTCCCTATTAATGGGGAAAATTTGAGCCACAAAACCCTTTCCAGGTGGTCAACTAACACATTCTTCTCACTATTCCCTATTAATGGGGAAATTTTGAGCCACAAAACCCTTTCCAGGTGGTCAGATCTTATCATCTTAGGTATGTATTACAATATTAAAAGTTTCAGCAGCCAATGTTTCCTGTTGAAGACATTAATAAAAGAATGGCCACAGGCTGATGTAGAGAATGAAGATTGCACAGGTCACCATTTCCAGAGGGGCCCTGGTGGATAGATTGGAATTGCCAGATAACACCTCTATGTGGAAGAAACATGGCAGGTTCTGTATGGAAGCTATGAGGAAGGTCAAAAGAGGCATAGCCCACAGAAGGGTGCTAGGAAGAAACAGACCACACTACAATCCAGGTCCTAACATACAACCCATCTTTCTAAACCCATATTTTAGCAAAGCCTTAGACAATATGATTGGCTCATCAGTCCAATCATTGAAAAAAAATGTTCTGTCTAGATACAATATCTCAAGACATTCAAGGGGTGCACAGTAACTGCCAGGTCCGAAATTCAAGCCCAAAACAATGTAATAGGTTAACTTGGGCCAACCCGAGTTGCACCCCTGCTGCCAGGTGGCTCCCTTTCCCATTCACCTTACACAGCAGGCAAACTTCAGAAATATCTGATCCTTGCATCTCCTTTAACCATATTTTTACAGGAATAATCCCGCAAAAAAAAAAAAAAAAAACTTTAACCTCTTAAGGAGTTGGATATTTATTGGCTGCATATTTTTTCAGATGATTCAACTAGAACGCGTGCCATTGCAAATTTAGGATCATATTTTAAGCAGGTTATGTACACAAGTCAACCAGTCACCAGTTGAAAGAAAGAATTGTCTACTTTGATGCCTAAGAAATTAAGAGCCAAATATCATATCTTCCACTAAACAAAGGTGCGCTTTTCAGCTACTACATAAAATACATTGTTGGGGTAATATAAAGGAATTGAGAATTTCTCGTTGGTGTTATTAGAAAATATACTCCAGGATAAACAGAAAAGGACTTTTAAAGGGAAATTCGTTAATCAATAAGAAGAAAATAAAGAAATACAAGAGATGAGAAAGGGAAATAGAAAGAAAAGTCCAGAAAATGGGATGAGAAACAAAGACCAAGAGGAGCCATAATGGTTAAAGAAATACTACAGAATTGCTTACGGGATGGTATGTTCTGGCCGAATACTTCCTTAATATTCATTGATGACTGAAAGAATTTAATAAAATAGAAAGAGAAAGTAGTATAACCATCAAGTGACCCAAAGAACAAAGGGAATAAACCAACAATCTTAGCAAAAGACAAGGCAAACCATCTAATACAAGGCATAAACTGATCTGAAACAAAATATAAACTGTGTTGGGAGGATCACTAAGACAACGTACTCCTAGCCTTATGAGACTACCAGCTAAAGAATTGGTCGATTATAGAACCCCAGATGAGATATGCACATTGAAGCCAAAGATCAAGCTTCCCAAACATGGTGCCTAAGATGTCAGAGAAATATTTCATTTTGCAACTGTAATGGTGTTTTTGCATACTTCCAGGTGAAGGTAATTAGTTTATTAGAAAATACAGTTGGTTCCTAGGAGATTTTATTGTTTGGTATTGATGGTACCAATGGGATCCTGAAGAATTAAAATCATTTTTCTATGATAAAGGATGCCTGCGAGAATTTGTTTAAAATCATGAACTGCAGCCATAATAAAAAAGTCAAATGTTGAAACTAAGAGGGGCATAAAAATGTCAGTAGTTTCAACCAATAGTTGCTTTCAACAGAATAGAGGACGGAAATGATGTCAGTGCTTGAGCCTCTTTTTCCTGGATGGGAAGAAGCATGCCAAGGGTACATTCAGAAAATTGAAAGAGGGATAGAGCAGACATCTAGGGATGAAAATCAAGAACACCAGAGATGCCAGGGGTAGGAGAGTGGAATTAGTATGGAGGAGCATAACCTCCTCAGCTGGAAGTCTGGAACATGGTGAAGCCAGGTGCATTGGAAGGCAAAGGTAGCACATTTCCAACTTCAGTGGAAAAGGGGAGAAATGATTGTTTCTCCTATTCATTAAGTTTGGTGCTTTTTGTAGAAGATGTGAACATTGATAGACTGTTGACTGTTGATTGAGCTTTTCTTTTTTGCTTTGGGTTCAAGCTCTTCCTGGGAGATTTTTTTTCCAGATCTAAGACATTATTATTGGGTCCCGTTTTTTCTTTTCATTTGGCCAGCAGGGAGGGGGGGCACAGGCATGTATACTGCTTGTACACTCATTTTCCTTTGTTAAAAAATTCCAGAGCCCCTCATCCTAGGGCTCTGAAGATTAAACCCATAGGCACAAAGAACAAGGTTCTCCAGAAAGTTTAGTCTTAGTAGCATCATGTTTTAAAAAGGAGTTGGTTCTATTCAAGTTTAACCAAACAAGGCCTATTCTGTCTTACACCAGTATTCAGGAAATTGATCTAAAAGCATTCAATAATTCTTTCCTTTTCCTGTTATAATCCACTGTTAAATGCACTCTTGGTGTAACATAGATGTGAATACCACTCTGACAGATTATTCGCTTTCCTGTTCTATGTTTTTATACTTGATTTAATGCAGTTCACCTCATTACCTTTGAGGTTTCCAGGTCTTGCTCCCTCTTTCTGAGAATCCTTGATGATTGTGTAATTTATATTCTCTCATTCCAATTTCTAATAAAATTCGTGGTTTTACCAATAAAAAAAAAGGAGCTTGCATTATAATGTAAAATCTGATTTATAGGATATTCTAGTAGAAGCTCCACGCCTGAGAGCATGAAACAAAACAAACGACATTAATCAATTTTCCTTTCTCCCTGTTTTGATCATCAATAGTGGTTTAGAGATATCAGTTGCTCACCTTTAATTCAAGCTGGGCAGAATCTGGGAGAATGACAGGTCTAAATGAAAGGGAGTGTGGACATATCGGGGTGAACAAAATACATGGAACATTTGGGTGAACCTGTGATACAGATCATCCATAACATGATTACATAAACAGGACTAATAAAGCAGATTAACAAAAAAAACGAACATAAAACAATGGCAAGGGCAAATGGATATTACATGATCTCAGTCCATTTAAACAAGAGTAAAGGTACTAAGCATTTAACAAATTTGAGATAACAACAGCTCACAAAAATAATCAAATTAAAAATGAACCCTCCCATAAGGAATAACATCTGAATATGAAACCTAAAGCACTCAGAGAGATTTCATTTATATGATACCGTGATATAATGGTATGCTTACTAATTAACTCCCAGAGATAATTGTGTGATCACTAGTGCGTCTTACATAATAGAATGAAAAGAAAGTGAAAGTTCACAAAACAAAATTAAAATATTCCTTGTGACAGTAGAAGGCCAAATACCTGAAATCTTTTGATCTAGTTATCAGTCCAATGATGATTCAAAATTACAGGATTTGGCCAGCCAGTAACCTTGCCTTATATCAAGAGATAATTTCTAGGGGCGGGTTCATTCATGTTGTTTTCTGGGTAAAAAATATCAGAGAAACAGAACCAGAAAGGGAGAAGAAAGGAGAGAAAAGAGAAGAGAGACAGAGAATTCTGGGGTAGCCACCAGTCATTAGTATTTATATTAGGACGTCTCAACTAATAATAAAAGAAAGGAAAATACAAGAATGCCCCCTGCGGCACTAAAGAACAGAAAAATAACAAGAATTAAAAAAGGGGGCTAACTAACTAACTGATTTCAACACTACCCTTCAACTTGGGACATAGATGTCAATCATGCCCAACTTGTCACATAAATCATTGTTCCGCAGATGATGTAATCCCTTGGTAAAGATGTCTACAAGTTGATCTGTGGAACTGACATATGGAGTGCACACTTCCCCATTTATAATTTTTCCCTAACAAAATACTTGTCGACCTCAATATGTTTAGTTCTATCATGGAGAACTGGGTTGGCTGCAATGTTGATAGTAGCCTTGTTATCACAATACAATGACATGGGGTCGTCAACAGGAAACCCCAGTTCACACATCAAGTTCTTTATCCACATTACTTCAGCCACTCCATGGGACATTGCTCTATACTCAGCTTCAGCACTGGATTCACCACAACATTCTGTTTCTTGCTTCTCCATGTGACTAGGTTCCCTCCCACAAAGGTACAGTACCCACTAGTGGACTTTCTGTCATCAATTGATTCGGTCCAATCAGCATCTGTATACACTTCAATCTTCAAGTGTCCATTTCTTTGGAATAGTAAACCAGCCCCCAAAAACTTCTTTAGATACCTAAGGATTCTATCGGCTACCTCTAAGTGTGTGGTCTTGGGGGCATGCATGAATTGGCTAAGAACCCCCACAGCATAAGCAATGTCTGGTCAGGTCATGGACAAATATAATAGCCTATCCACACATCTCTGGAATTGCTTTACATCCTTGATAGTCTCACCTTGGAAATCACCTAGTCTATGGTTTAAATCAATGGGAGAGTCAACAGGCTTAACTTCAAGTTTTCCTGTATCCTGTAACAAGTCTAGGATGTATTTTCTTTGGGAAATGATTATCCCCTTTTGTGAACAGGCTACTTCAATTCCAAGAAAATACCTCAAGGGACCTAGATCCCATAGTTTTCAAGGCGCCAAGGCGAGGCTAGGCAACAGGGGGGCACCTTGTCACCTAGGCACCGCCTAGGCAATGAACTTTTTTTAAGTAAAAATCGCATATCCTAGGGTAGTTCCCTTGGTTCCATAACCAACTTTCTTTAACAACTATCCATAATTTTCATAAGAAAATTATAAACTTTATGTTTAAGTCTAGAAAATCAACATATTTATGAGAAGAAAAAGAAAGGAAAGAAAATTCAAAAAATATAGGGGCTGAACCCCTATTTTTGTTATAGGAAAAGAAGAAAAGAAAAGGTGGAAGAAATGTGTGTTGATTAGACAAAATTTTAAGTTCTTCCCTTACTTATTGGTTCAGATTTTGAAGTCATTGAGGGTTTAATACAACAGTTAGCAATGTTTGTGTTGATTAAACCCTAAATAAGAAAATAATAAAAAGAAATTAGTTTATAAACACAAAAAATGAATACTTTTCTTTAATAATGTCTATTTTATAATTATAATCTCAAAAAAATAACAATATAAAAGTATTTTATGACACAGTATGCAAAACTGCTTGGCGACTAGGCGAGGCGAGCCATCAAGGGCACCTTGTCGCCTAGGCGTCACCTTGGCAACTATGCTAGATCCTTCACCTCAAATTGAGTGGCTAGGAATTCCTTTAGTCTTTGAATTTCCAACTTCCAATCGCCTGTGATCACTATGTCATCAACATAAACTATCAAGACTGCAATTTTCCCTTCTCCTCCTTTCACAAATAGTGTATGATTGGCCCGACACTATTTGTAGCCAATCCATTGCACCGCTAGATGAAACTTGATAAACCAAGCTCTTGGTGACTGCTTTAGACTGTACAAGGACTTCTTCAACCTACACACTTTCTGCTCTTGGTCTTGGGCATAGAAACTAGGAGGTTGCACCATGTACACCTCTTCTTCAAGATCACCATTCAAGAAGGCATTTTTAATATCTAACTAGTGGAGATCCCAATCAAGGTTAGCAGCAAGAGGGAAAAGAACCCTGATAGAATTCATCTTAGTAACTGGAGCAAATGTCAATGCATAGTCTATTCCATACACCTAAGTGAACCCTTTTGCCACCAAACGGGCTTTGTACCTTTCTGCTATGCCATCTGCCTTGTGCTTTACTGTAAAAACCCACTTGCACCCTACCAGTTCCTTACTCACAAGAAGATCCACTAACTCCCATGTACCATTTTATGCAAGGCATTTATCTCTTCTTTCATTGCATTTGTACATTCGGGCACTGAAAGAGCCTTTGGCACATTTTTAGGGATAGGGCATTGTCAATGGAAGAGAGGAAAGCATGAAAGGAGGATGAGATATTCTCATAGAAGACAAAATGGGAGATAGGATGTTTGGTGGTACAAGACCTAACTCCCTTCCTTTATGCAATAGGGATGTTAAGGTCATTGGCAGATGAAGAATCAATAGCAATAGGGTCAGGAATATCAACAGGAATAATAGTACCTAGTTGGATAGGATTTGTCCCCAGTGACTTTGATGATGTTGGTGGTACAACTTCAAGTTTCTCCATAGCTTTTGAACTCAATTGGCCCTTGCGACAATGAAGTGCTACCTCCTCTACCATTACCTGAAGTAGATGCAAAGGAAGTCGAGGCAGGAGGAGCAGAATCCATCTAGCGAATTGTCCTCCCATATAGCTTTAAATGGTCACGGAAAGAGTTAATTATATCTTCCTGGGGATCGGTTCCAAGGAAGCTGGTAGTGGTAGATTGCTGAGACTCCTATAAGTCTAATTTGCTGTATTGAACTTTTTCTGACCTTGCTGTCCCAGCTTCTTATTCAGATCTGATTTCTTACTCAACTTCTGAGCCCATTTTGGCTTCCCATGGAGATCCCAACATGTATCACTGATATGTCTAGCTTTATGACAATGAGTACACCATAACTTATCCTTATCATCCACCTTCCTCTGGAAGTCACCCTTAAAAGAATTGTTGCCTCCTACAGCCACACTCCTTTTTTCCACTAAGGCAATTTGCTCCCCCTCGGAGTTATTCATCACATTCCGCCTGCTCTCTTCGGATTGTACTAGGGCATACACTTCTTGTACTGAAGGAAGTTCTTTACTTCCTAATATCTGAACTCTAAGAGACTCATATACCGAGTTCATCCCTAAGAGGAAGGCAAAGACCCATTGCTGGGAAACCAGAGACTTGTAGGCCTTACCATCAGCATCACACTTCCAGTCTATATTCTGATAGTGGTCCAGTTCTTTCCATATCGAGGTCAGATCTTAGTAGTATGATGAGAGACTCCGCTCCCCCTGCTTACAAGTAGAGGAAGCAGCTTGCAACTGATATATTTTGGCATAATGGCGTTGCTCTGAATAAGTAGATTTTGCCTGCTCCGAAATCTCAACAGCTGTTTCATCCCACATGAACGTCTTCCTGACTGGAAGCAGCATGGAAAGTAGCAGCCATGACATCACCATGCTGTTTTCTTGATTCCACCTGTCATGCTCTACACCCTAAGACTTCGGTTTTTTGGTTCTACATTAATATAGCCCACCTTCCCCCTGACAGTGATGTACAGTATGATTCCCCTTGACCATTCTAGGTAATTGAGACCATCAAACGGTATCATAGCCATGGGGAAGCTCATGTCAAATCCTCCACTCACTCCACCTTGACTGGAAGGCCCACTAGACACACTAGAATCCGCAGATGACATGGTATAAGGTCTGATTTGACAGTTCAGTTCAGTCAGAGTTCACTTCAATTCAATCACAATTCAGCCACAGTTCAGTTCTACAATTCAGGTAAGTCAGTCCTTAGTTCAGTCAAAAAAGGATTTTAGGAACACCACACACATACGAGGAGACAGTTCAGAAGCTAGGCAGCCCTTATATATACCCCTTCATCCTACTTGGCACATAGGTACTATAATTCCCCAAGAAACATTAGCAAACAACTGTCACACAGTCACAGGTCATTCAGACCTACACCACCCAGTTGTCTGGGTACAAGAAACAGGATCACCTGATCCACAGTTCTAAATAAAAATACCACGGTGGTTGCAGGTCATCCAGATCTCCAAAAAACCCTTACCTGGGTACAAGAAAGGATCACATGATCCACACAATTGAGAAGTCCTGCCTTCACAGCATCAGAGTTCCCTTCTTTTAGGTATTTCTTGGCACACGACCAAGAAAGAAGGGAAGAGAACCTAGGAGAAAACCCTTCAGATCAGTCCGATCCACTCCCTAATCAGATTCGATCCACAGCAGAGGAGAAACTGAGAGACTTAGGAAGAAGAAACTAAGAGGACTTTTATTGCACTGTTTCTAACCCCAGAAAACCTGCTCTGATACCATGTTTT